ATGTCACTATTGTTTTTACATATATATATGTCAAACTATTGTTTATATATATATATAGTTTTTATCCAAATAGGATTTTTACTATGTACAGAAACTGTATCTGATGTTCTGATGTTATGCAGTTGGGTCTAGATATGGAACTTGAAAAGGTGAAGTTCTTTTAATGCATATAATTCTTTTTTATTTTGGTCTTCACAAGGCTTTTTCTACTTAACTGGCAGCAGACAGCCCTCAAATTGCATTTTAAATGTATGATTTATATAGGTATAAAAAAATGAGGGATTAAGAAATCTTTAAAGTTCTATTTCACAATTCATTTAACAAAGTAGCAGTAGTTAGAAAATTTTACTTGGCAAGATCATACTGGGGTGGGAGTGGACCTGTATGTGGAAAAGGGACCTGAGAAATGTTCCTATGATTAATCTGAGGCAGCACAGCCCAATGATGGGAATTTCCTCTGGGAGGTAGGTCTTGCTGTAAACCATTCAAGATTAGATACCAGGCACTGACATATGACAAATGAAACTGCTGAGAGAGCGGCTCATAGGAGCTAATGATTTTCAATCTTTAATTAAGCACCTAGCTTGGCATAGTGTCTTAGATTTGAGTGAGTAAGTACCTTTAGGGTTCAGGGTCAGAGCTTTGATGGGAATTTTGCCGAGGAAAGCTGAGCTGGGGAGACTTTTAGGAAGCAAAATGTTAGTTACTCTTCATTCAGAGCGCTGAGCAAACAGGGTCAGACCCGGCCACCTTTGCCAGGTCCCATGGCACATCCCTGGCAAGTGGGAAGCTGCTCAAGGCACCACACAGAGAGAAATTCCTCTGGAGGGCCAGAACATGCTGGCCTGTCAGCAAGGAAGGGCATTCTGCAGCATCTGGGTGGAAAGAGGGGAAAAAATGCTGCTCAGAATCTGCTTAGGTTGGGCCTCGTATTCCCTGACCTCCAAGTCTTTGGGCACATTTTTATACCCACAGCTGACTGTGGGCACACAAATTATAGCATTCAGGAATTTAACTACCTGATGATTGGGCCTCTGCTCAGTGTTGTAACCCCAAGCATTCCACATTCATGACAGAAGCCTCCAAAAAAATTAAAAAAACCTGCGAGATTGGCCTCAGGAGCATGAATTAATACTTTTTGAAACTTCTGATTTTTTGAGCCTGCATGGCTTGCATTTGCAAGTCCTCCCACCATCCAAAATAGTGGGAATCTTTGAAAAAACACAGCAGTGAAATCAGGTTCCTGCTCACCAAAATGAATCACAAAACTGGACCTTTAGAAAGACAGCAGCAAAAAAGAAAAATATATCAAGAGTTGGGATAAAGTTACTGGAGATTGTAGTATAGAGGCTGCCAGGTAGTGTCTATAAATTATATATATATATATATATATAATGTATGTAATAATTTATACAAACATCAGCATCTCAACCAAATACACACAGGCAAACAATTCTTGTACAGACAGACTGGCATCCATATATAAATACACATTTCTAAAGATGTCACCCAGGACACTGAAATGGGTGATGTCTGTCTTTCAGGAGCAATGACACTTTCTAGGGAAGCACATCAGAGGCTCCTTGGGACGGTGTTGAACCCACAGAAGAATAAGGAGCTTCATGAACTTCACCTCCTCCCACTCTCTTTGCAAGCTACTGACTTGGCCCTTTCAACCAAAATGTAGACACCAGAAACACATGTAGGGCATGACAAAACATGGACCCTTCAGCAAGATTTACTGCTCAGGGAGGAGTACAACTCAGGGATGACAGATCCCGTTGTCAGTGCTTTCCTGGAAATCCTTAGATCCTCGTACTCTTTGGGGAGGTGTAAAAGTTGTATCCATCCACGTCTTGTCATGGATTTTGTTGCAGTTCTTACAGCTGCAACTGCATGTTGAGAAAGCTGTAGGAATGGGATAGTTTCAACAAAACCAAACATTTTTCAGCACAACTTCATATCAAGCACAACTTCTAAGCATGTTTTAATATATATATATATACAAACACATCTAAATATCAATAGATTATTTGTACCCAGATTCATGGAACAGGATTGAAATCTTACTTAGGGGTCTTTGGAAAAAGACTTTCTCCATAGGCCAGAAATGGAGACAGAGGAGACCCCGGAGACCCCTAAAAGACCCCAGAGAGTGCCACAGTGCATCCATCTCACTGCCACTGAAATGCTGATGCTGCAGCAGAAGGTGGCAAGTTTTCTCTTCTGTCAGTATGGAAGACAGGAAGGTGGTACAGTGCATTCCAGTGCCCACAAAAAACCCAGCTCATCACAGCCTTGCTGATTTTCTTCTCTTAAAGCAGTTTCAGCTACAGGAATTTCTTCCCCAACTCAGTAAATCTTGCTGGGAAACACCTTTTCTGCCTCTGATAGGATAACTTCACCTTGACCCTGGTAAAGCCTGTGGTTTCAGAAGGTCTAAGGTATGACCATACTGAGGTCAGACCTCAGCAGGGGCTGTAGCTCTTCCTGAGGGGAAGAGGAGGAGCAGCTCTGATCTCTGTTTTCAGTGACCAGGGACAGGAGCCGAGGGAATGGCTGGAGCTGGGTCAGGGGAGGTTTAGGCTGGAGATCAGGGAAAGGTTCTTTCCCCAGAGGGTGTCGGGCACTGCCCAGGCTCCCCAGGGAATGGTCACGGCCCCAAGGCTGCCAGGGTTCCAGGAGCATTTGGAAAATGCACTCATGGATGCACAGGGTGGGATTTTGGAGTTGTCCCGAGCTGGACTCAAAGGGCCCCTTCCAGCCCAGGATATTTTATGATTCTTGCATAGGTTGCTCAGCTATCTCATACTTGCTACCGTATGTTGGTAAGGGAGAATCAAATCCAAATATTCTCTTTAATACTGAAACCCCAGAAATTTGGGAAAAAACAAACCATACAATTTAAGTGAAACTCAAACAACTCAGGAGGGTGCCCTCTATTTGCAGGGATAACCAGATCTGTACAGCTTTTATTTTAAGGCCAGTTTCTGAAGCAGTAAGCATTTTTTACTCCCTCCTACTTCATTATACCATTGTACTCAGATTTCGGCCCTTTTATCCTTTGCCCATTTCAGTCATGTTCTGGGATCTGCAGCGAAACCGCTGCAGGAGATGGTCTGCAGCATCAGTAATGCTTTCAGACAAGCTCCCTAGCTCATGTTTCTTTGTTAGCATCCCGTTGCGAAGGGGAAAGATCAGCTCGCTTTGTTCTTAGGCCTTGATTTCCATAAGCTAATGATGACTGTGGGTGTAATTATGGTCAGCCTTAAGTGGTAACGCGAGGGCAGAAAAACAGAGAGGCGCTTCCGTGGGGCTGGCGTCCCCCTGCTGCACACACGGGGCGGGAGGACACCGCTGCCTTCCCCCGGCACAACCTGGCCCAGTGTCCTGCTTCAGGGCAAATCTGGGAGAGAACCCCCAGAGGGGCTCCTCTAGGAAAGCAGATTCAATTGGCCCCTCCCTGCAACTGGTCTGGGAGAAAATACCTCCTTGGAGAAAAGTGGAAAAAAAACTGTTTTTAATTAATATTCATCAATAAAACCCCTTGCTGCTCCAAAAGAGATGACAAACTGAGAAAGTCCCCTCCCCGGGTTGCAGCTCAGCTCACTCAGTCTCTTATCACTCAGTCTCTTATCAGTCCCTCCAGTGCTGGAAATGCCCAGGCCCGGCCCGGTGCCCACAGCTGGAGCTGCCGGTGCTCTGCTGGGTGTTCTGTCCAGAGCAGGGTTAAACAGGTCCAAAGAAAAGGGAAAAAGGAAAAAACCACAGTCCAGGGAACTTCTTTGCCTCAGCTAGCTAAAAGCTAACTAAGAGCAAAGAGAAGCTCTGTCCCTCTGTCTGTCCATCTGCAGACAACACAGTCCAGGAGCAGGAATGTGGAGGAGTGAGTGCAGTGTCTGAAAACAAACTGCGCGCTCTTCTCTCCCCCCTTCACTCTCTGCAACAAGTCTTAAAGGTGCAAAACTTATTATTCAGCATAAACAGAACTAGACGACTGGGGATAAAAGCATCATCTAGTCAACCTAGGACACCCAGGGAAGGAGGGATGTGCCGGGATTGGCACGGCTGGGTGGCAGCAGAAACAGCAATGTGACAGTGGAGCATCAACCTGAGCACCCACCCCCAAATTTGTGTCTCCTCTGGCTCTGAATTAAACCCCTCTGGCTGAACCTCCTCTACAACAGCAATGTGTTTCTCTTCTCTCCTTCTCAACAGTACTCCTTTGAGCAGAAGAGAAGAGAAATGCATTGCTTTCACTCCTTCAGTGAATTTTTTCCCTCTAATGCTGTGTTATCATTGCCCTGGTGGAAAAAAAAGTATTTGTGGCTGATTGTTTGCTGAATAGTTGGACTAAGTACTGCAATGAGTGCTGCTTTTTCAGGAATGGGACATTCTGTGGGTAGAATAGGCCATAAGTTTACTGCTGGTGGTGCTGGTATAGGTACATAGGAAAAATCTTTAATTATGCAATGAATATAGGATCATAAAATGGTTTGGGTTGGAGGTGACCTTAGAGATCATCTAGTTCCAGCTCCCTGCATGTAGGCTTATTCAGTCACACAGTAGATACTGTTCTTCTTAAGCATTCTTTGATCATTACCTAAAGCAATTAAGTATTTTGAATCTAATACCATTTAACCCCCAAATTCATTCTTGTTTTCTGTTTTCAAAATGAAAATGATTTGAAAAAAATTTGAAGTCCCCTGTGGTTCTAAATAAATGCCTCCTAAAACGTAAGTAAATATTCTCCAACATTTGGAAAAAGAATGGGAATGTTTTCCCAAAAAAATGACAAGAAACTGTATTTCCAACCAGGTGCCACTTGGAACAAAATGTTATGAGCATTCTGCTGGGAGGTGAGAAGATTAATAAGCATGCATTTGAAAAATTTGAACCAGCAGTAATGAATACTCATATGAACGAAACAGACTGAGGTTTAGGCAGGCTTGCAACATTCTTTTCCTGCAGTAACAATATGCAAATGTCTGTACACATAGGTTCTCGAAGAGAGAATGAAATTGGAGTGCAAGTGTCATGGAGTTTCAGGTTCCTGTACAACCAAGACCTGCTGGACCACGCTTCCTAAATTCAGAGAGATTGGATATATTTTGAAAGAGAAATACAACGCCGCAGTGCAAGTGGAGGTGGTAAGAGCCAGTAGACTGAGACAGCCAACCTTCCTGAAGATCAAGCAGATTAAGAGCTACCAGAAACCCATGGAAACGGATTTAGTGTACATTGAAAAGTCACCCAACTACTGTGAGGAAGACGCTTCCACGGGGAGCGTCGGTACCCAGGGACGGCTCTGCAACCGCACCTCTCCCAACGCGGACGGGTGCGACATGATGTGCTGCGGAAGGGGGTACAACACACACCAGTACACCAAGGTGTGGCAGTGCAATTGCAAATTCCACTGGTGCTGCTTTGTCAAGTGCAACACGTGCAGCGAGAGGACAGAGGTGTTCACCTGCAAATAGCGGCGCCGCGCGCGAGCGCGCAGAGCGAAGCACCCGCGAGCGAGGAAAGTGGAGTACCACAAACAACAACAGCATCATTTTGCACATCTGATCCTCTTGGGGGAAAGAACCCCAGCCAACACCACAACAACCACTCCCTCCCCACAACTACCTATTCTTCTAAGGATGGTGCATTTTGGCTGGCTGGCTGTTGTAACTGCTTTGGAAACAAGGGCAACAGGATTAAGGTGATGTTGACAAACACATGAAACTTTCTCTCTGTCTCTCTCTCTTTTTTTTTTTTTGAAACTACAATCCGGGTGTTGTAGAGTTCTCTTAGTGTTTTAAATTATACATATCAGAGAAGCTGATTGCATTGCAGCTCCCATGACATTTAAAAGAAAAAGACATTTTCTCCTATTTTACAGCAACAAAACTGTCTGGCCCTGTGCAAACAAAGACTTTTTTAAGGAAATGAAATCTTCACTGACGAGAACACAGCATTCTCTCTGCAAAAAAACAAAATTTCTAAGAAAGCAGATAGAGAGAAAACAACAGGTAGGGAGCAAAATGTATGGCAGAAATACTCCACTGTCAGTTTGGAAAAAAAACCCCAACAAGCACTCACAAAATTACATCAGCTGCCAGTGACACTGGAACTCTTTGAATGAACATTAAAAATAATTATTTATGGTTTTAATAGTATCAAAAAATTCTAAGCACTAACGGGTAGCTATGTCGTAATTCTGTACTAAATGTAAACTTATTGGAACTCTTGACTGTATGACTTTTGTATTTGGTTCTGCCTAAGTTCTTCAATGCTACTGATCTGTTGTCACTCCACTATTAGAGAGCTCAATTACTGTTTGCAATTGCCAGAACTGAGCAAAACCATGAAACTTTGGTTACCAATGTTCGATATTGACTTTTACCACTTGCCTCCTGAATAAGAATGACTTTTTCAGACTCAGGCCTGAGGTGTGGAGCACCTGCTCACAGCTCCTCATAGGGAGTTTTAGGATACAAAGATGTGCTTCAACAAGCATCAAAGGTTTTGCTTTGACAATGAATGCACTGGCAGGGTCTTCCAGGCATTGTGTTTTCCCTTTAATGGTTGAAAGTTAGTATTTTCAAGACTTCTAAAAAACTTATGCTCAGTATGCACTCAGAAGATGATAAAAGTCTGGCAGCTGAGCTCTAGGTTGCTGCAACCTCTGAGCTGTCATGGCTTCACAAGCATAAGAAAGCCAAAATTTGGGTTAGGTGTGTCATCAATATTTTAAGGTTGGCAATAGAGTACCTCCTGGTAAGCACGTGAATGTTAAAAGAAAGAAGCTCACTTAAAGCACTCAATCCTAATTCCCACACCTTTTCCCTATGAGAGATTTTAAAAACAGCCTCAGATATTCTACTGCTGTAAAATGTAGTGTTTTAACCCCAAGAGCCCAGATATGCCCACTTAGAACACAGCCCATTTAACCATGTAATTGTTTGCTTGTCCCAAGGGTCCCTGCCTGATTTTCTGAAAACTTGGATTAAAAATCTCCTTACATCTGCATATCTGCATTTTTAGCTTTTGTTTAATTTTTGTTCATTATATCGAGGGGCTGCAGAGCCATGAGCCCTCCCCACCTAACATGGAAGCACTTGTCCATCCACATGGTGCTCTTGGGGCAAGGGGCTGGTGGATCTAGAGCTCCACCAGCTCCCGTGCTGGATATGTGAATGAGCCAGAATTACCTCTGCAATTTGTGGACCTGTATTATCAAAAGTAACTAATGATTTGGGGACCTTCATTTGAACACTTGTGAGGACCTGCCTTTCTGACCCCCAAGCACTTACCCTCTGAAAATCAGACCCGTTTGATGACTCCCCTCACAGAGCAATGTAAAATTGCTTTTTTTCTTCTTCTTCTTTTTGATGTTGCTGTTGATTTCTAAATATCAGCCTTGGCATGAATGAGTGCAACTTCACAGAAGTCAACAGGGGCCCCCAAAATACTAGATTCACTCCATGTAATTTAAAGTCCCTTGGACTCATGGGTATTGTTGTTGAATTATAGTGACGATACTGTACTTTCACTACATTCTTGACAGGAAGCAAATAAAGCTCCCAAACACAGTAATGCACAGTCTTATGGTACTAGATACTGTAAATTTATTAGAATAGTATTTGTTAAGTACAATTGAGGAATCCAATTAAGTTATATTATTGTATATCGTTTAAATGTCTATAGAGTATTTTAAATTATTGCGAACTACACTGCGTTAGAGAAAAGAAAAAAAGGAAAAAAGGTTATATATTATAACACCAACCACTCAAAAAAGTGGACCAAAGTGACACTTTCTCTCTTCCACAGCCCTATTTGAAGTAGCTCTGCCTGCTACTGTAAGACCACTGTAACAGTCCCATGACTGGGTGAGCGCTCTAGAATGTAAAGTTTCAGAGCATCCTACAAAAGCTTTGCTCATGTGGAGGTGCAGCATTCCAAAAGGTGCTGTATGGCACAAAGCAGGGGCTGGCAGTGGGAATGCTTGGACTTTGAAATATGTCCCATGGAAAAGCAGTTCTGATCAGAAAATACCACTGCCACTAATATACAGAAACACTCCCCAAAGTGACGACTTCTAACGAAGGTGTCTGTGAACAGAAGTGGGTTACACACAACTTTTATTTTTAAAAATGTAGTTTGGTGTCAAAGACCTGTGACAATAGAGGTTGGAACACGACCAGCAGCATGTGGTTTAACCATACCTTAGCCATGACAAAACTCAAAATACTTTATGTTATTAAAGAACTTAAGAGCAAAGATCAATTTGTTTACTATGTTAATGTTTTATGGCAAGCAGAAAACAAAAGATGAAATGTGTTTCCATTAAAACTTAATTTTTTCCCCTTCCAGTTCCTTTTCCTTTTATTTGTTCTTTGTTAAGGGAAAAAAAAAAAGGCAAGAGGGCATTATGAAAAGAATATTTGTGTACAGGCTTCTCCGCATGAGAAATGATAGGCGAATTCCAAGTCCTAAACAGTTTTTGTGTTTCAGGAAAAATAGTAATGAACATGACTATGTGTGGTATCAGTCTTGAGCCATCTTCCTGCACCAGTGCTACAGAGACACCAGCACCTACAATGCTGCTACCAGAGACTTTAGCTGGCTACAATAAAAAGTCAATTTCTTGGTGGAAGAAAATAAATGTTTTGTGATAGAAATTTGGCAGCTAACCCAAAAATGGTTCTTGACCATGAACCTCACATAATAGATTAGCAAACAGAGAGGAATAAGAGCTGTAGAGGAGAGGGTTGAAAGTCCTGACTTGGACACTTGTACTCCAGCTTATTAAAGTCAGCTATGGACACACCTGAAAACCCTACCTGAATCTGAACCTGAAGGATTCTACAGCATTTACTTTGGCTAGAATAGTTACAACCTCTTTGATATTGAGAATACTGTCTTCCTATACAAAATCTAAAGAAACTGTACAACTTAAGCTGTATTTATCCCTCAGGGAAGGTATCCAGATACAGATAGTGCTATAGTGAAATTCTACATGAACTGAGTCCAAAATAACTTCATTAAAATGAACTAAGTTGGCCTGGGTTTTACAGTAGCATAAGTATGCACAGTATTTTACCCACAGATGCCAAAGAAAACACTGCACCTTCTTTCTAATTACATCATGGGAAACTTGTTAATAGAGCTGCAGGAAGTTTTTATAGCACATGATAATACTACATTTGTTTCTACGATGACATCTGGAAACTAGATGAAACTCATCAAAAGCTTTGCAAATCTTTTAACAAATCTAAAGCATGCTGTAAGCAGGTCACCTAAAGTTTTAAACATATTTCCTTGGGTCTCTTTGTTAGTTGAAGACTAAAACCCCGAAGTGATACTGGAGCTAACAAATCAAGACCTTCCCTTATAGCAGCTTTCCCCTGCAAACGGCTCAGTGTGGCTTTCATTATTGAAGGCAAAATTGGCATTCAGCAGAAAATGCTTTCTATAAAGCTAATTTGCATTCATAGCAATTTTCATAACTGGACAAGAATGACTGCACGTTTCCTTTCCAGCCCTTCAGAGCTTTTGTTGCAATGACAGTTCCCACAGCGAAGGCGATGGAGTAAATGGTACAGTAAAGACCCAGCATTCTTCTCTCTGAGTGATGGCCACAACAAGATGTGGGATATACACAACAAAAACTATGCCTAAGGAAAAAAAAACACATCAAAGTTGGAAAGGCAGGGGAAGTTGTAAGCAATTTCAGTTTGTGTTACTGATATTGTAAGAAACCTCCTGTGTGCTAAACAAACCGCATTGTAGGCTGAACTTCACCCACAAGCTCATTTCCCCTCAAATCCAAAGTCCCTGTCTGCATGTCTACACATTCAGACTTCAACAAGCCTATCCAAAGGTTGGCAAGCATTTCCTTTTTCGTGTTTAATCTGCTATTAGGAAATGGTAGGGGATCATTTTCTGGCAGGGAACGCATAGCCGCAAATTTAAAATTTGCATCTCATTTTTTAAATGAAGATTTAAGGCTTTTCTCCCCTGCACAATCCTGCAGAACAGATATGTTTGCTTTAAAGGATTTGTTCAGTGAAGAATGGCAGTTCACATGATACATGGTAAGTGTTTGCAATGTGTTCCATAGAGCACAGAGGGAATAGTACTACTGTAAACTCAAAATCTTGAGTCGTGCTCTTTTTACTAAAAGCAATATATTAATTATTAGCTGTTTGGAGACCCCCTGTGTGAGTCTATTTTGATCATCCTTTTCAGAAGTTAGTGCTATGAAAGACCAAAAAATTGAAATATTGAAGTTTGCTTTGTTTCCAGGTCCTCTTATTCTTGATGCAAACAGGTCCTCAGATCAATAAAGAAACAACTTAATGAGACTTAAACTTGCATAGGTCATAAAAACGATTAAGATATTTGTTTCATAGGCATCCCAAACAACTGGCAACCGCACCAGACACTGGAAATGTTTGCATCTGAAGCCAGATGTATGATTAGCCTCTGC